TAATTTTTACTAAACTTTTAATAAATTGTTAAATTGTGTAAGTTTCATGATTTCAATTAATTAGACATGCTTTTTTATTACAAAAATGTAATTTAACAATTAAAATAGAGATTATAATGTGGGGAAAAACCCCAGAATTTATTTTCAAAATTGTCTCTAAAAATTTATTTTTTTGTTTCATAAAAAGATTCATAATTAGACATGCTTTTTGATTACTAACATTTAAGTTAACCATTAAAATAGAGCCCAGAAAAAAAAGGAATCTAAACTAATTCAAATGGAACAAATGGAATTTGGAAACAAAATAAAACACAACTTGTGACAAAATAAAACCGATTTCATATGGCCCTATTTAAGTGTCCTGAAGAGCGTCATTAAGTGTCTCCACTATTAATCTCAGCACTAAAAATGCAGAAAAATATAACATGTTGTAAATATACGTCTCATTCTACATCAAAACAGCATTTTAGCGTGTTAATGGGGAAAAAACGTCTGCATCGTGCTGATGCACATCAGGACATAAACACAGACGCCTGGAAACGGTCAAAAATCACTTTTACTGGAGTTAGTTTTGCTCGTTTAGAAAGGTCCACATATTGAAAGGTCATGATTAAACGCTGCATGGTAAGAGCAGAATGTGGTGGCGAGGGCTGGCTCAGGTTTAGCCGTGTTGGGGCTGTTTTTGGGCGTCAGGTGCCCAGCCGGTCCTTCAGGAAGCTGTTGGTCTTGGAGTCCTGCAGCAGCATGTTGGCCACGTCCAGGAACTTGTGCTCGTAAGCTAGTTTATAATGCGTGTAAACGTCCTCGCAGTGAGACAGGAGCTTCTTCAGATTCTGACTGCAGCTCGCCGGCGCATTGTGATGAGACATTCTGACAAAAACAACACGATCAATCAATCCACTCAACAGACACACGTGAAACATGCCTGACAGAAAAATAACACCTTTCTGTAAATGCACACGGGGACCAGAAAACATGTCTAGATATTATATGACAAGGAAGGAATAAGTGTGCAGACACTTATATATACTGTACATATATGTGACCCTGGAGCACAAAACCAGTCATAAGGGTAAATTTTTCAAAATTGAGATTTATACATCATCTGAAATAAATAAGCTTTCCATTGATGTATGGTTTGTTAGGATAGGACAATATTTGGCTGAGATACAACTATTAGAAAATCTGGAATCTGAGGGTGCAAAAAATCTAAATATTGAGAAAATCATCTTTAAAGTTGTCCAAATGAAGTTCTTAGCAATGCATATTACTAATCAAAAATTAAGTTTTGATATATTTACGGTAGGAAATTTACAAAATATCTTCAAGGAACATGATCTTTACTTAATATCCTAATGATTTTTGGTATAAAAGAGAAATGTATAATTGTGACCCATACAATGTATTGTTGGCTATTGCTACAAATATCCCCCAGCGACTTAACACTGCTTTTGTGCTCCAGGCTCACATATATATACATATATGTGTAATAAAAACAAATATATTATAAAATAATATTATATTTATATTAGGTGTAAATAGTATTTCAGTTGAAATAATTTTGCTGTGCGTATAATTTTAATTTTCTTCAACTCCAAAATTGACCAATTACAAACAAGTAGCAACAAAAAACTACTATATTAAAATAATATTACATTTATATTATATTATATAACATAAGATTATAGTTCAGTTTAATGGTTTTTTTGTTGTTGTATATTTTATATTTTAATTATAATTCATTTAATTTACAAATATGACTCCAGATTCGGATCAAATACAAGTAGCAGTACATTTACATAATATAAAAACAGTTATTTGTTAGAAAAAAAATTATTAGAAAATATTATGTTTATTATTATTTAAAAAAAATGCCATTTTAATAAAATAAAATAATATTATATTATATAATAATATAAAATATGTTAGGTGGAATTATTTTGTTTTCATTTATTTAATTTACAAATTAAAATTGACACCACTGACCAATTGCAATGAAGCAGTAATAAAAAAAAACATTTATATTAATATAATAATAGAAAAGAACACATGATTAGATTTTTTTTGTGCATTTCATTACTTACTTTTGGTATTTTATTACTTTTTAAAATTTAATTTATAAATATTTGACTCCAAAATAGCACTACGGACCAAATACAAATGAATCAAAATTACTGTATTAATAGAATAATATTATATTTCCATTATATAATAATATGAAACAATAGTTTTAACAATTGAATTTTCTTTTTGTGTTTTTTAAAATTTAATTTATATATATTTGACTCCAAAACTGACCAATTACAATCAAGTGGAAAGCTGGCCAATGATATAATGTTCTTGCTATAACCAAACTAAAGCCATTAGTAGCGTATGAGAATATCCTCACAGAAACATCGTAACACAATCAGAGTGATCGGAGCTCACTTCTTGGAGATGTCTTCGAACAGGCCGGCACTCAGCGCTCGGTGCCGCTTGAACTCCTCCAGATAGCTGAAGTCTGCTCTGAGCACCACCTTCTGATAGAGGAGCTCGGCCCAGTCCGGACTGTAGTCGTACGCTTCGGCCAACACAGACGCCTGCAACCAATCACAGTCCAGCGGCGTTACTGCGCTTTACTCTCCAGATGTCACGCTACACTGCTGCGGAGTGTATTAATGTCGCTCTTAAAGCAACAGTTCACCCAAAAACCCAAAATCCTGTCGTCATTTACTCTCCGTCAGCGTGTGGACGAGATTTAAGAGATGCAGCGGAGAGACAGAGAGATCTAACCAATATGAAGAGAAATAAAAAATAAATAAGATTAATATAAATATATATATATATAAATAAATAAATAAATAGATAGATAGACAGAACGACAGATAGACAGACAGAACGACAGATAGACAGACAGACAGATCGATATAGACAGAACGACAGACAGACAGACAGACAGACCGACAGACCGACAGACAGATAGACCGACAGACAGACAGACAGACAGATAGACGGATAGATAGACAGACAGACAGATAGATAGATAGAACGACAGACAGACAGACAATAAATGAGATTTTACAATATATTCACATAGAAAAGTATTCCGAGTTTATATCTCACAATTTTGCCTTTTTTCTTGCAATTTAGAATTTTTCCGCTTGCAATTAAACAATTGACTTTTTCGCAATTCTGAGTTTATATATATATTACATTTTGTCTTATTTCCTCGCAATTTAGATTTTTTCCCCCTTGCAATTCTGAGTTTATACCTTGCAATTGTTACTTTTTTCGCAATTCTCAGTTAATGTCTCATAATTTGACTTTTTAGTTTATATCTCGCAAAATTTTTTTTCTAGCAATTCTACATTTAAAGCTCACAATTTTAAATTTTTCTATCAATTCTGAGTTTAGATATCTCAATTTGGACTTTTTTGCAATTTTAATGGTCTCACAATTCTTTTTCTTCTTCTCACAATTTTGACTTTTTCTCTTGCAATTTAATATAAACTCAGAATTCTGTCAATTTTTTTGACTTTGAAAAAAAGTCTAAATTGTCAAAAAAGTCAAAATTCTGACCTTTTTCCTCGCAATTCTGAGATTATATCTCACAATTTCTGTATTTTGTATGAGATGCATTGACACTCGATCTCTCACCGACTCGACCTTCTTCCTCAGCAGCATCTCGAAGCGATGGTTCTGATGGAGCAGGTCAAAGACGTACGTCATTTCATTGTACCTGCCGATACCTGTGAGGAGACGCACCTGTGGAGAGAGGAACACTAATGATCTTCCAGGCTTTTGACTGATTCAGAGGTTTCCTGGCCTTCATGAACTCACCAGGAGTCCGTAGCCGTCGCCGTGAGCCAGGTGTGTGTGACTCAGGTGTCTGGCTGCCTGCAGGACCCTCACGATTCCCTCCATGTTACAGGTGAGACTGAAGCAGTCATGAGCCAAAATCAAGATCTCCACAGCTGCACACAGACAGACGATTAACAGTCACATTTATATTTATACTTTCACACGGACATTTACTTTGCCTAAGCATTCGCAGTTTAACTTCATATATAATAATGTGAGTAGAATGGTAATAAACTGAAGTACACTAATAACAAAGGGATTCAGAGAAAAATAATTGTGTAAGACTAAATCAAACTAAACTACACTAAAGCAAAAACTACATTAAATTACATGCAGTATTACATTAGATATTATTACATATACGATGATATAAAAACAAACAATAAATAAATAAAAAACAAAAATGGGAGGAGGAAACTAACTATACTACAGCAAAAACAAAATCAATTTACATGAGGGTACATTACTGAATAAAATAAATAATACAATAAATTAAATAAAACTAAATAATAAAATTATATAAAACAATCATCTAAAATAAAAGAATGGGAATAGAAAACTATATCAAATCTACGGTAATATCAAAATCAAATTACATGAAGTAAAAAAAATTTTTTTTTAAATAAAATAATAATTAAGAATAAAAAAATATCTATAAAATATAAAAAAATAAATGGGATACGAACACTATAACAGTAAAACAGTAAAAAACTAAATCAAGTTATGTAAGTACATTACATAATAAAATACAAAAATATTTAAAATAACAAAAATAATTAAAAATCAAATAAAAATCATATTACATGACAGTACATTACAGAATAAAATAAACAATTAAATAAATAAAAAACAAAACAATATAAAACAATACAAAAAATAGTAACTAAACTAAACGAATCAAAAACTGGATTACAAAACTACAACTACAGCAATCAAATTACATGACAGTACAATACAGAATAAAATAAAAAATAAAATAATATAAAAAAAAATAAAATAAAAAACTAATCAAAATGGTAAGAAAAAATGCAATTATTGTTAACTACCGTAAAAAAAAAAAAAATTAAACTGACTGTACATTACACACAAACAAACAAAAAGAATAAAATAAAATCTAAACTAACCACAAATGGGAAGAGAGATCTCTGTCAGTGTCCCTGCAGAGAGCAGAGCATTGTGGGTAAGAGGGACTGATACTCACTGCAGCTGAGTTCTGACCGCGGGACGGTCGGGATGCTGTCCATCAGTTTGGTGCCGACCAGGTTTGGGTCTCCACACAGTTTGGCCAGCTGGAGGAACGTGTCTCTCCCGTCGGCTGGGCCGTACATCAGCCGCTCTCCTGAACACACACACACACACACACACACACACACACACACACATTACTCACACACTCCCAGCAGCCACCGTAGAGGCATTTATATTGTTACAAGACATTTCTATTACAAATCAATGCTGTCTATTCCTTAAAGAATCCTGAAAAACATAATGTCTATCAGTTTCCACAAAAATATTGAGCAGAACAACTGTTTTCAACATTGATAATAATCAGAAATGTTTCTGGAGCAGCAGATCAGCATATTATACTGATTTCTGAAGATCATGTGACACTGAAGACTGGAGGAATGATGCTGAAAATACAGCTGCGCATCACAGAAATACATTACAGTTTAACAGAGATTCACATAGAAAACAGCTATTTGAAATTGCAATAATATTTCATACATTTACTGTTTTTACTGTATTTTTGATTAAATAAATGCAGCCCTGATGAGCAGAAGAGACTTCTTTCAAAATCAATAAATAAAATAAAATCTTACCAAATCCAAACTTTTGAACAGTAATGTATGCATTTGCATGAAAGTATCAAAAAGTTTTAATAATGAAAAATTGCAATGTACTTATTTAAATTTAAAACCACAAAAATATGTTCATAACATAAATAAACATGCACTGAAATAAAATAAAATATAAAAAATAAAATAAAAACAAAACCTTAATAAAAACTATATAGACATTTAAAAAAAACAACAACAAACAAAAACACAACAAAATTACTAAAACTTTAAAATTAAAATAAAACAAACTATAAACATAAAATGAAAACAGAAAATAAAAATAGAATTAAAACAAATTAAAACAAAAGAATAGATAAAAACCTTTGAAAAAAATATTTGTGAAAAATGTAAATGCAAACAGAAATTATAAAATTAAAAAGAAAACAAAATACAAATATAAATTTAAAATGAAAACAGAAAATGTACAAATTAAATTAAAATGAAAACAGAAAATATAAAATGAAAACAAATAAAAAAAAGTCTAATTCAAAATATTAACAAAAATATAACAGTATATCAAATTATACTAAAATAAATACAGCTTATGAAAAAAAAAATCAATCAATCAATCAATCAGAAGCCCTTCTACTCTTTTTAGGGTCATCATATTTATAAAAAGAACTATAACCGCAATAATCCCAGAAGAAATGAAGCTGACTTCTCACCGGTTTCTCCCTCCTGAGCCGAGGCGAGCAAACCCTCCAGCACAGCGGTGGAGACGAGCCGGGCGACGGCGTCGGGCTGCAGGCCCTGCACACTGATGAAGGCCTGAGCGCGCTTATAGCGGTCGACCTGCTGCGAGAGCAGGACCTTCCTCAGAACAGCCTCGGGCTCCTCCGACGAGATCTCAGCGAACGAGCACTGCAGCTCCTGCACACAGGCACCAGCGTCACGCTTCACACACATTCACAGACTCACGCGGTATATGTGACACTGGACCACAGAACCAGTCAATCATCTGAGAGCTGAATAAATAAGCTCTCCATGGATGTATGGTTTGTTAGGATCGGACAATATTTGGCTGAGATACAACTATTTGAAAATCTGGAATCTGAGGGAGCAAAAAAATGTAAATATTGAGAAAATCATCTTTAAAGTTGTTCAAATGAAGTTCTTAGCAATGCATATTACTAATCAAAAATTAAGTTTGAATATATTTACGGTAGGAAATTTACAAAATATCTTCATGGAACATGACCTTTATTTAATATCCTAATGATTTTTGGCATAAAAGAAAAATGTATAATTTTGACCCATACAATGTATTGTTGGCTGTTGCTACAAATATACCCCAGCGACTTAACTCTGCTTTTGTGCTCCAGGGTCACATTTTACAGATGTTACGCACCTTCGAGAGCTCGTAGAGGCTCAGCACTTGTTTGCAGTAACTCTTGCCGTTGCAGCACTGATCCACCAGATGTTTGAGCTGAACCAGAACCTGATCGTCTGGCGACGGCACCACCACGAACGACGACAGGCCGCTCATGCTAGGAGCTTCAAAGAGAAGAGTCTGCCGTTAGCATGTCGCTAAGCTAAAGACTTACTCTCAAAACTGCATCAAATACACAAAATTACTTCTAGAAATGTTTGCTTTGTAATAAGACGGGACAATTTTCTGTAGATTATTTTCGTGGCTGAATAAAACAATGGTTTGCCGTTAGCATGTCGCTAAGCTAACGACGCAATATGCTTAAAAATACATAAAATACACAGAATTACTGGGAGAAATGTTGATTTGTAATAAGACGGGACAATTTTCTGTAGATTATTTTCGTGGCTGAATAAAACAATGGTTTGCCGTTAGCATGTCGCTAAGTTAACGACGCAATATTCTGAACAATTTTCGGCAGTTTTTTTCAGTACTAAATAAAACGTGATTAAAATATTAGTTTGCCATTAGCATGTTGCTAAGCTATTGATTCAATACGCCAATAAACACAAAATAGAGCAAATACACATAATTATTGGGTGAAATGTTTGCTTTGTAATATTATAAAACTATTTTATATATATTAAAATATCACTCATGCCATTAGCATATTGCTAAGCTAATGAGTCAATACGCTTAAAAATACAAGTAAACAGAATTATTGGGTAAAATCTTTTCTTTGTAATAAATATGGAACAATCTTCTGTAGATTGTTAAATAAAATGTGATTAAAATAATAGCCATTTGTAAATAAAAAATACATACAAACACAAATATCAGGCAAAATAGTCAATTTTTAATTAGATTAAACTAGGTATTTAATGACACATTTCATTGTTGAATAGAAAATGTGATTAATAACTGGCCATTAACGTGCTGCTAAGCTAACAACATGCTTTTTAATAAATAAAGCAAAAAAATTGAAATTTTGGACACTAATGAAAAATTTGAGCTAGTATGTGTGTGCGCGCATTTGATTAATGTGCATATATTTTAAGGATATGTTTCAGCGTTAAATAAAATGAAGAAAATTCAGCTTTGCATCACAGGAATAAATTACATCTTAAAATATATTAACCCCGAAAATAACTACTTTAAATTGTAATAATATTTCACAATATTACTGATTTTGTTGTATGTTTCGATCAAATAAATGTAACCCTGATGACCATAAAACACTTCTTTCAAAAATCTAACCGACCCCAACTCTTGTGTTGTGAAAGTGCATGTAATATTAAAGCAATAATCCCCGTGAAGCCGTGGTTTACAGTGAATTTATAACAGCTAAGGGGCGTTGGTTAGGCACGGAGCTTCACGGGGCTTATTCCTTTTATAAAACGGTTATTCCATATACGTAGTAAGGCTTCACAAAATAAAACAGAGCAAATAAAGTGTAATGATATTAATAAACACAGTATTCTTCCACCAAACAATGTAGCTCCTCAGAAACAGTTGTGGTTGTATGTTTGTAGAGTAATTTACAACAGCTTCGAACGCGGCTCAACCAATCAGAATCAAGGACCGGAACTATGCGTTTTAAAATGAAATACTGACTAGCTACCAATATTTTTCAGCAAGATCATGAAAGCAGATGAAATGGCTCACATGATGGCAAACTGCGTCTGGTTTCTCCATCAGGGCTGTGAAGCTCAGGCTGCAGCTCTCCGCTCGCCAGACCGCGACACTTCAGGACCAGCCACACGTCTCTGTGAAACAGACGGAAATACCTGCAGACGCGACTGGCCTCGCTCACGCCGCCCTCGTCCAGCAGCTGCGCCACCAGAGCGGCCAGAGCCTTGCGCTCGTCTGCAGACAGCAGGCAGTCGTTCTCGGCCGCCGGGAGCCCGGCCACACTCAGATGAGCCGGCTCGTCCAGAGCCGCCGTCCTGGAGAAGGAGAACTCCTGGAGGAGGCTCTGGAAGGAGTCGTGGGAGAGGGCCGAGGGCGCGAACAGACTCTGGCGCTCCAGAGCCGTGTGAAGCAGCAGCCAGCGGATGCGACTCTGCCACTGACGCTCCTCCAGCGCGGCGAGACGGCAGACGGGGAGCGGAGGATCACGCAGGGACAGCCAGTGACCCGCCAGACCCAACAGCAGACAGCGCTCCTGCAGATGAACCAGCTCCGAACCCGACCCCAGCGGCTCCTGAGCGGGACAACACGGCATTCAGTAACGCTGAGAAACACCAATGCTGTTTGCAAAATAATAATAATAATAATGATTGTTATTATTACTACTACAATAATTCTTTTAACCCCCCCAAAAAAATCAAACAATAATCATAGTAACATTTTCGCAAAATAACATCTAACACTTAAGAAAACGTTATTATTATTATTAGTATGACTAATTGTTACTAAAATAATTATTACCATAACAAATAACAATAATAATAATATTACCAAAACATCAAACAAAATAATTGCTACTGCTAAGATTGCACTGTAAAAAATAAACATCTAACAATTAAGAAAATAATAATAATAATATTGTTATTACCAAAAAATCTAACAAAAAAATTACCAATGTAAGATTTCAATGTAAAATAAAAAGAATATAATAATAATAATAGTATTAATATAAATAATAATGATAATAAAACAACTACATTTACTACAATTATTGCTATAATAATTAGAATATAATATTTAGTATATTTAGTTATTACTAGAGAAATATCAAACAATTTTTTTCATTGTGAAAGAAAAAAATTGTAATATTTAAGAAACATGAAAAAATAATGATGATAATAATAAAAATTATAATAAGAAATATTTAATATATTTAAACAGAAAACAATAATAATAATAGTATTAATATAAATAATAATGATAATAAAATAACTACATTTACTACAATTATTGCTATAATAATTAGAATATAATATAATATTTAGTATATTTATTACTAGAGAAATATCAAACAATTTTTTTCATCGTGAAATAAAAAAATTCTAATATTTAAGAAACATGAAAAAATGATGATGATAAAAATTATAATAAATATTTAATATATTTAAAAAGAAAACTTATAAATAATAATAATTTTCACTATAAACGTAGTTAACACATTTTTAAAAGTCAATTTCTAATTAAATTAAACTGTTTTTAAAAACATATTTCAGTACTGAATAAAATCTGATTAATAGTTTGAAACGATCGTGAGACAAATGTGAAACGATCATGTTTTTGTTTTGAAAGCCATTTTGCAATATCACAATTTATTGTGCAGCCCTACATAAATACCTAAATTATGACATGATTTTAGTCAGAATAATTTCATATTTCACACAAACACTGGAAGCTTTTTAGTGCCGATGCAACAAAATAATGCAAATGATGCATACGATTGACATTTCATCTGTGTATTTGACTATTGCTGCATTGTCACAGAGAGTTATGGTAAATGTAGAGTGGTTGCACAGCCTCACATCACAGGTGAAGCAAGCATCATGACAAACATGGCCCTGCCCCGTGACTGTTAATAATGCTTTAGCAAGGTTTCGAGGTGAAAGGAGACGGAACAGAAAGCCTGACCTCAGCCTGAGTCAGGAAGAACTGAGAGGCCGCCTCGGGCTGGACGCGATCCGTCTTGAGCTGCTCGTGGCATCTCCTCCAGAAGGCCAGCCGCGTCTCCTGCCTCTCCCACTGACGCTTCTGCTGATGAGCGCACAGATCTCGCAGCAGCTGCCGGGAAGAAGAGGACAGAAGCTCCTCGCTTAGCACTTCTGCAGCAGCTTATGGTGTTCCCTAAAAGCCAACTTGTATTTCTGGAGGTCATTTGTGACCCTGTCTGTGAGAACCCAGCTAAAGTCATTTTTTTGTGATTTACTGTTTTCTACATAAAATCATCCTTCATAAAGATGTAAAGAACATTCTGTGAAAATAGCCTTTATACCTTTAATATTGACTGAGTAAGGCCATGTCAAAGATTGAAATCATAGTGAAATTAATAGTTGAAATAAAAGTGATGCTTATCTCATAATTCGATTTGGAGACTTTAGCCTGGATTTCGCAGAGTCACATTTCATAAATTTAGGGATTCACAATTTCACCACAAACCTGTGATTATATATCAATTTGATGACAAAATAAATAAATACATAAAATGTTATTATATTACTGCTACTACTACTACTACTAAAAAAACAAACAAAATGTTACCATTGTAATATTTCACTGTAAAACAAAAATTATTTAATAATAATAATAATAAAAATGTCTTACTCCTATTCGTCGTCTTATTAAAATAAAACAAAGTAATATTGCCATTGCAATAATTTGCTGTAAAACAAAAATCTAATATTTAAGAAAAAAAATATTATTATTATTCATAATCATTATTATTAAACATCATTTTATTATTGTAATATTTCACGGTGAAATAAAATGTAATACTTAAGAAAATCAAACAATAACATTATTGTTGCAATACTTCAAAGTGAAAAAAAGAAAATGGGAAAATAATAAGAAATAATGATTCTTCTTCTCATTATTACAAATAAAATAAAATCAAAGTAATGCAATTAAATAAAAAAATTAATTATGCAAAGAAAAAAAAATCATTGTAACATTTCACTATAAAAAAATGTAATATAATATCTAAGAAAAACAATAGGAAGAATAATTTTATAGTACAACTGTAAAATTACCATATCTAAATTATTTATGTCTCAATTAATTTCAAACGTGAAACCATTGAGCTTTTATTTGGGCATCAAACATATATTTAATAATTAATAATTGTGATATCAGCCCTACAGGGTTCCAGCACAGATTTATGGGAAAAGTAGTTTGGCTGCACAATCCTATACTACCTCATATAAGAGCTAAAGGAAGTATTTTATGACAAGATTTATTGCTATTCCTCATCAGGAGTAGATGCAATGTGCATATCATGAATCACTTCATTATTATTTAATTATCCAATTTGATCACAGATTTGCTCTAAAGCGTCACCTCCTTTATGATCAGGCAGTCGATGGGCAGCTCGGCCAGCTGCGCGACGGTCCTGGCCTGCGTGAAGAGGCCGAGGTCCTGCAGCTGCTGCATGATGGTCCTGCACTCGTCCTGCAGGCCGGCGCTGGAGTACTGGTCCAGCAGATGCGCAGACAGCGGCACAGGAGTGTCCGACAGCACCTGACTCAGCTGACTCAGCTTCCTGAAGTCAGGCCCTGCACACACATCACACTAGCGCTCAAAAGCCTGGAACAATCACTGTGCTTTAATGCTTTTGAAACAAGTCTCTTCTGCTCACCGCGGATGCATTTATACAGTAAAAACAGTAATACTGTGAAATTTTAATACAATTGAAATTTTTAAATACATTCTCTTTTCATTTTAATGTTATATTTTCTTTTTCCTTTTTTTTTTTTTTTTACATTTTCGGTTTTCATTTTAATTTTATATTTATACAGAAAAAACAGTAATACTGTGAAATTTTAATACAATTGAAATTTTAAAATACATTCTCTTTTCATTTTAATGTTATATTTTCGTTTTTTTTACATTTTTTTTTATATATATATTTTTTTTATTTTATTTTATATTTTTTCATTTATACAGTAAAAACAGTAATACTGTGAAATTATTACAATTGAATTTTTTTAATACATTCTCTTTTCATTTTAATATATATATATATTTTTTACATTTTCGGTTTTCATTTTAATTTTATATTTATACAGTAAAAACAGAAATGCAAAATTTTATTAAAATACATTCTCTTTTAATTTTAATGTTATATTTTCGGTTTTCATTTTTTTTTTACATTTTCTGTTTTCATTTTAATTTTATATTTTGCATTTATACAGTAAAAACAGTAATAGTGTGAAATTTTATTACAATTGAATTTTTAAAATACATTCTCTTTTCATTTTAATGTTATATTTTCGTTTTTCATTTTTTTTTTATTTTAATTTTATATTTTTTCATTTATACAGTAAAAACAGTAATACTGTGAAATTTTATTACAATTGAATTTTTTTTATACATTCTCTTTTCATTTTAATATATATATATATATATATTTTACATTTTCTGTTTTCATTTTAATTTTATATTTTGCATTTATACAGTAAAAACAGTAATGCGAAATTTTATTAAAATTGAATTTTTTTAAATACATTCTCTTTTAATTTTAATGTTATATTTTTGTTTAAATTATTATTTTTTTTTAAATTTTATATTTTGCATTTATACAGTAAAAACAGTAATAGTGTGAAATTTTATTAAAATTGAATTTTTAAAATACATTCTCTTTTAATTTTAATGTTATATTTTTGTTTAAATTATTATTTTTTTTTTTAAATTTTATATTTTGCATTTATACAGTAAAAACAGTAATGCGAAATTTTATTAAAATTGAATTTTTTTAATACATTCTCTTTTAATTTTAATGTTATATTTTCGTTTTTCATTTTTTTTTTCTTTTTTAATTTTATATTTTTTCATTTATACAGTAAAAACAGTAATACTGTGAAATTTTATTACAATTGAATTTTTTTTAAACATTCTCTTTTCATTTTAATGTTATATTTTCGGTTTTCTTTTTTCTTACATTTTCTGTTTTCATTTTATTTTTATATTTCCTGTTTTCCGTTTCTTTCTTAGGTTTCAGTAACTTTGTTGTATATGGTCCGTGTACTCTTGCGTCCATTCGGTTTTAGGTTTTTAACCCAGAAATGAAATGCGGTTTCTCTTTTAATGTTTCAAACACTGATGAATAGAATAAGCAGACACAAACTCATTTTCATTATTCAAAATTCGTATTTCATTAAAAATCTTAATTATACAAAGCTTGTTTTTTAATGTATATAAATGCTCAATTTAATTTCTACCTTTTTTAGCATCTCTATACAGACGCTAGCGCCCTCTCGCGCTACTGACATGGCTTCGATATTTTTATGATCTTAATTTTTCACGCCTAAAAACATGTAGCCAATGAAATACTCATTTCTTTGCAAATAACTGTATCCTGGGCAAGTTCTACGGGAGGGAACGAAACGAAAGCAAGAGACTTTGGTTAAAGCTAGAAATAGGACACTGGCGAAACATATTTTCCAAACGCTCCTGTGTGTATTTGTGTTTGAACACTATTGGAAGGTTTGCTAAACATTCTGTAACTTAATAGTCTGCATAAAATACAGCATGTGGAGCCATGCCTCGTCTTATTCGTTTTTGTTAATAAACGTTATGTACGCTAGTTTGTCATTATAGCTTACGGTTTTATTGTTGTTGTGCTTTTTGAATTAAGAATAACAATGAATCCATCTTTTGTTTTAGTCTTAAAAAGTGAAAGGTGTATAGATATAAGCAAAACAGACAATTATCTTTTCTTGTAAAACGTGACACCAAGATCGCGAATTCGAAAGCAAACATAAAAGCGTCCAAAAGTCCGGCTTATAACGCAGCAAAAGAGTGCATTTAAATCACAAATAATACTGATGTATAAGGCTAGAGCAAGCACCCTCACTGATTTCAGAAGCACCCTCCGTGATTTTATTCAGGAACCGGGCTTGCCTGTATCTGGAGATTATAACTTTATATATTTCTATATTAGCCTATATATATATATGTACCCCGTATATTAAACCGTGTGTAGTGCTCGAACACAGTGTGTAGCCTACTGTACGTGCATCGAGCGACCATGCTCTCCGATAACATACTCAGATAGCACACAAAATTACAAAATTATCCCAATATATAATTTCACGATGATAGATTTCCCAGGATTATGCAATGTCTATTTTAAAAATCATATTTGTATTAAGTCTCTGCATTGTTCCAAAGACGCCTCTAGTTCTCAACTGAACGTGCGGGAGAAGCATTGCTAAATTTGGCCAAAGAAAATGTTTCTATATTAATTTGTGCATTTTTCAAATGTCTATTAAAAGTGCAAAAACATTGTGCATTAACAAAAATCTGAAAAGAAGTCAATATTTAACTTTTTCGGGCAGCATTTTGGGTGCACGGTTCTACTTTCACTTTTGGTTTTCAGCATAGCATTTAAAAAAACAATAACCGTTCTTTTTTCATTTTTTCCCGTCATGGTTAAAAAAACGAAAAATTAATGGACGCAAAAGTACACGGACTGTATATTTTTGTCCTTTTTATTAGATTTGTTTTCATTTTTTTTTACTTTTAATTTTACTTTTAGATTTTCTGTTTTCATTTTAGGTTTTCATTTTCATTTTATTTTTGTATTTTTTGTTTGCCTTTTAAAGTTGTGTTGTATATTTTTGACATTATATTAAATTTTTCCTTTAAATGTGTCTATATAGTAGGGTTTAACGGTACATGTATTCGTACCAAAAATTTCGTTTTTATATGAATATATTTCAACAACAAATAGAAATTGCACATAATGCAGTTTTTAAACAAACTTCTGAATTATACAATGTTTGCATACAATTTTTCGATAAGTTGAGGGTTGACTATTATAATAAAAAAAAAAAAAAAAGTAATTAAATTTACGTTTAGGCTCTGTTGTTAATTGTAATTTTATAGTAATGTAAAAGGGCTCCCTATAGTTCAGTTTAGAGCAGAAGCCGAGGTAGATTTTTATTCCTAAGAAAATTTTAGCTATAATTTAATTTATTTAAAGAAAGAGCAACTTTTTCAATTAAAGCACCGTTTAATAAAAATAAAAAAATTCTCCCTGCTGTACCGAAATCATACCGAACCGTGACGTCAAAACCGAGGTACGTACCGAACCTACTATAGAGTTTGTATGTTTTATTTATTTTATTTTAATTGTTTTAGTACCTCAGCTTAAACTGAATAAAAATTAGAAAGTTGCCATGGCAAAGTTTTTTATGTTTTATTTCAGTTAATGTTCATTTCAAGTAATTAACATTTTTTATGGTTTTACTTTTAGTTCTACTTCACGACAATAACCCTAATTCATAGAATATAGCACTTTTCCATTATAAAAAAACATTTTATATTTTCATACTACTACATCAACTATTGTTCAAAAGTTTGGGGTTGGTAAGAAGTTTTTATTGATGATAATCAGAAATGTTTCTTGAGCAGCAGATCAGCATATTATACTGATTTCTGAAGATCATGTGACACTGAAGACTGGAGGAATGATGCTGAAAATACAGCTGCACATCACAGAAATACATTATATTTTAACATATATTCACCAAAAAAAAGTCATTTTAAATGGTAATAATATGTCACTATTTTTACTGTATTTTTGATCAAATAAACACAGCCTTGGTGAACAGAAGAGACTGGTTTCAAAAACATTTAAAAATCCTAATTATTCCAAACTTTTTTCCCCCAGTGCTAAATGTGGACTCTTGTAAACGTGGTTTAGAGCAAAAATCGATGCCGAATCGGAGTCTGACCGTTGGATTTGAGCAGTCGCTCCATGTCCACCAGCAGCTGAAGCAGGCGGCGCAGCTCGTACTGAGTCCTGCTCTGCTTGAGGAGCGTCAGCAGCAGAGCCGAAGCCTGAGACTCGACCCACTGGACCGGCAGCACGTCTGAACTTAACACCACACTGCTGCTCCGCAACTACACACACACACACACACACACACACACACACAGACACACAGACACACACAGACACACACACGGACACACAGACACACACACACAGACACACAGACACAGAGACACAGACACAGAGACACAGACACAGAGACACAGACACAGAGACACAGAGACAGAGACACAGACACAGAGACACAGACACAGAGACACAGACACAGAGACACAGACACAGACACGCACACAGACGTGCACAGACACACACAGAGACACAGACACACACACAGACACGCGCACACAGACACGCGCACACAGACACGCGCACACAGACACGCGCACACAGACACGCGCACACAGACACGCGCACACAGACACGCGCACACAGACACGCGCACACAGACACGCGCACACAGACACGCGCACACAGACACGCGCACACAGACACGCGCACACAGACACGCGCACACAGACACGCGCACACAGACACGCGCACACAGACACGCGCACACAGACACGCGCACACAGACACGCGCACACAGACACACACACACACACACACAGACACACGCACACACACACACACACACAGAGACAGACACACACACGGACACACAGACACACGCGCACACAGACACGCGCACACAGACACGCGCACACAGACACACACACAGACACAGACACAACAAGGGTCAACAGAATACCAGCAGATGTAGAAGAGAGAAGCTTGAGTGAGAGCTGAGAGAGTTACATTGAGCAAACACTTCTGGAAGTCCAGCAGTTTGTCTTTGGCTCGCTGATAGTCTTTGTAGTCCGAGCAGAATTCATACATGTGCAGCATGTAAATCAGCGGAGACTCCTGCAAGAAATACAGAGACGTGAAATAATATTTTACACACTTCTGTTTTTTTTAAAGAAATGAATACTTTTATTCAGCAAGGATGCATTAACTTTATCAAAAGTGACAGTAAAGACATTTATAATGTTACAAAAGATTTCTATTTCAAATAAATGCTGTTCTTTTGAACTTTGTTCATCAAAGAATCCAGAAAAATAAAATGTATCATTGTTTTCACAAAAATATTCAGCAGCAAAACTGTTTTCAGTCTATGAGGAAAGACATTACACCACAATAAACATGAAACAACATCAGTGTTATTATTGTTAATTAAACTAAAATTATTAAAATCATTTTCATTCATTGAAAAAAGCTGAAATATCAATATATATATGAATATTAGAAATCATTAAACTTACATGAAAATTGAAAATGAAACTGAAATAAAATAGTTTGCTGAAGTACTAAAATTAATAAAAGTTAAATAAAAATATTTAGAAAAATATGTTTAATGAACTTTTAATAAAAGTTCAAAATATCAATAAATATTAATAATACTTAAATAACACTGAACAACATATTTATGAAAAAAAGTAACATGAACACCTGCAAAGTCAGTCATCTTAAAAACTTAAATGAAAATGTAATTAAAAAAAGTACGCTGAAGTATTAAACTTCCTACAACTAAAGCCAAAAAATAAAATAAATATAATATAAAATGTATAAATATAAATTAAAGCCAAATAGAATTTTTTTAAATAAAAATTACAAAAACACATTACATTACTAAAATGAAATATATAAATTATATATTATATATAATACTAAAATAACACTGAACTACATATTTATGTAAAAAAGTAACATGGACAATAAAAGAAAAAAAGAAGAAAAAAAAGAAAAGTCAATTACCTTAAAAATTGAACTGAAATAAAATTGTTTAAGTTGATGTACTAAAACTTCTAATACAAAAAAAAAATTATAAAACTAAAATAAAGCTAAATAGAACATATTACAAAAAGTACTCATAAAGCACACAGAATTACTAAAATGTAAACTAAATTAAAATAAACTCTAATTAAAAATAAATAAATACTATAATATTATATAAATAATGCTAAAACAACACTGAACAATATATTTTGTGAAAAGTAACATGGATACCTGCAAAAAATAATATAATCATATTTTTTTATTAAATAAAATCTAAAATATATAATGTAGAATATATTTTACATAATAAAATATAATATAATAATATTTTGTCGCTAATAAAGTGTGTGGACGATGGAAAAATATCATGCACGCTAAAATTGTTGTGCATGCCAAAGAAACTCAAGTTATGTCTTTAAACTGATCCGAGATCTGCTCTGCATTTCAGTAGATTTCAGATCAGAGACGTTCTCGTCCAATCAGAGAGCCTCTTACCCTCTGAAACAGCTGGAATCCCCGAATCAGAGGCCTGATCTTGCTCCTGCACAGCAGCGTCTTCCACAAGACGGAGAGATCGTGGAGGTTCCACACGTGATGGGCGGGGCTCTCCTGGATGTGGGCGGTGGCTTCCTGAGTGACATCATCCCCGACAGATGCCAGGATCCACACGCAGAGACACTGCAGCAGCTCGGCGGCCTGTCAATCAAACCACACACACACACACACTTGCATTTGTGGTTTATGGGGACTCTCCATAGGTGTAATGGTTTTTATACTGTACAAACTATATTTTCTATCACCCTACACCAACCCTACCCCTAAACCTACCCCTTACAGGAAACTACTGGCAATTTTTGAATTTCATAAAACACTGTTTTGTATGTTTTCTAAGCCTTTTGTTTTATGGGGACACAGGAAGTGTCCTCATAAACCATGTTTACGTTGTAGTACCCATGTCATTATACACATTTGTGTCCTCAAACCACACACAGACACTCACTCACTCACACACAGACACACTCACACTCACTCTCTCACTCACAGACACTCACTCACTCACACACAGTTAATCTTAAAAAAGGAAGCATATGCATAAACCCAAATAAGAAATAAACAGCTATTGAATAAGCATGTGTACTATTCTGTGTCCTAAACTCCTGAAACACTGGTGTCTCTCATTTTAGAGCAGTCACCGCAATTTATGAAATAAATAAATAAAATCTGTATGTGTGTGAGAGAGAGAGAGAGAGAGAGAGAGAGAGAGAGAGAGAGA